ACCACTTATACCTGATATACCATTTATACCTGATATACTTACCCTTATAATTTCCTATCATCTACCTATTATTTTTCCCTACAACAATATTATTAAAGAAAGTGTTTAAACTTTATTATTAAAAAAAATTTTTTTTAAATATATGTTTTTTGAGTTAATAAAAAGATTAGTAAGAAAAGTTCTATTAAATATATATTTATAGTTATTTAATATTATTTCAAAAAATAATATTTTTTTTTCAACTTTAATTTAATCTTAAATTTTTGATTATATTGAAATTTCTAAATAACAATTGGCTTAAATTTTAAACTAATTGATCTATATATAGTAAAAAAATATAAACAAGTCATATAATCTTTATATATTTTATTTTTATATTTAATAAGTCATTAAATACAATGGAAAAAACAAGATAAGATATTTATTTTGTAAAAAATATTATAGTATTCTTTTTTTTTTTCTTGTATTGATTTTTTTTTTCTTTTTAAAATTAAAAGATGTTTTTTCAATTCAATAAGAAACTTCTTTTATTGATAATTATCTTAAAAAAAATTTAAATATTTGTATAAGTTTTGTTATAAATATTTTAAATATTCTTAATTAACAATGAAAATTGTAAAATTAAATAGTCACTAATAGTAATAAAGGATTTATTTCAATGAATTAAGATTAATTTTAAAAGAATTTATTTATTAAAATAAATTTTTTATTATATTTCAATAACTAAATAATAAAGTATGATAAAATTTTGTAATTATATATCTATTTAATCATAATATAATATTTTTATTGTATTATTATATTCAGATTAAAGATTAGTAAATACTCTCTAATTACAATCTAATTAAAAAATAAAAAAAAAGTTTTATATTGAATACTTTTTATAAATTAAAAAGTAATAATGAATTATTAACTTACAATTACTAAGTTGTAAAAATGGTTGATGTAATTCAAGTATCTTAAATATACTAATAAAGTTTTAATAATAATACGTAATAATAATAATTTTTTTTATAAATTTTTTTATATTTTGAAACGATGCATTAAAATTTCTATTAACTTGTCAGAATTATTGTGCAGTTGATTACTATCGAAAAAAATAAAAAGATTAAAAGAAAGTTTCAAATTTTCAAAACTTTTTGAGAGCAACCGTTTTGATTTTTATATAAGTTAATAAAAAAATTGATTTTAATAGTTGTACTAATAATAATTTAATTCTTTATACAATATATTTGTTTTTTGATTTTAGAATTATTTAGTTATATACGGTAAATATTTTCCAATTCCATGTTTCTTCTAACAGTGATAATTTTAAAGCAAAATACTGTATACTTTTTGATACAACATACAGTATTTATAGATTTATGTTTGAAACGCCCACGTAGAATTTCCTACAAGTTTCCGATTAACATTAACCATTTGATTGGTTTGTGTGACATGCGAGATTCTATAATACTAGAGATTGTGAACTTTCATTCTTGAATTTTCGACAGCTTTCGTAAATAAAAAACTGATATCTTGTGTATAACCTGTTTTAAAATCGTGAATATGTTTGGCCGTCCGAATCCTTTCGACGAACCTGTCAGTATGTATTTGTGGAATGCTTTATCTATTATGTCATTAGGACAGTAAAGTAAAGAATGCAAATAACATAAGACGGTTGAATTCATTAGATGCTGCGACAAACGAGACTCTTACCAAAGAGAATTGGGATTTGATAACGGTTGTTTGTGAGAAGGTCGAAAAAAGTGGAGACCAAGGGTATTGTATATTTTTGGCTTTTTCTCAGCTCTTGGCCTTTTTCCGCTTGAATTAAATAATTGTTGTCGAATAGTGCCCGTGACTGTATATCCGCCATTCAAAAACGGCTTGCTCATAGAAACGCGAATGTTCAACTTTACGCATTAACGGTATATATTTATTAAAGGGTTTATCTCAAGATCTTTTTTGAACAAATATTAAGCTTTTATTACCCGTAGTTGTCTAATTCTCTGGTTCGCATGTGTGGCAATAACATTCGTAAAGAAATTTCTTCCCGCACATTTACAACTCTCTTGACTCGTATATTGACCGACAAGGTAGGGCGTTAAAAATCGCGACATTAATTAAGTATCCTTGTAATAACCTCTATTGATAATGATTTTATATAGGGTACCCATGAAACTGTTAGAAGCAGAATACTCGATCTAATACAAGAATGGACTATTGAATTTCGATCTGATCCAAATTTGGGTTTGATGGAGGAGACTTTTAACAGTTTACGATCCCAAAGTATGTTGTGCTAATTTTCGCGTTTTTAGTATATTTATCTATGAGTATATACCTCTAACTTTTATAACCACTATCGATATTTAGAATTCCAATTCCCCTCACCAGAGAAGCCAAAGAAGGAACAAAGCGAAGTCAGTTCTCCAATATACTTTATTCTTTTAAACTGATTACAAGTGAATCTTTTAATCATTGATCTCCACTTACATGCAGATTGAGATTGAAAAAAGACGCAGACAAGAAGAGGAACAGATTCAATTAGCCATGAAGCTTTCATTGGAGAGCACTGAAAGAAAGTCCGTTCAAAAAGTAATGTGTACTATGTTTTATTTATATAATATTTTTATTATATTTCATTTTCTTATCAAACTGTTGACTGATTCATTCATTAGACAAATGTTTCTTCAACCAAATCCACCTCACAATCACAGCCAGTCGTGCAAGTACGTTATAAACTTTTACTTATACGTATGTTTTAATTTACTATATACAAATACAATTTTTTCTCGTATAGTCACAGGAAAGAGACTTTTCTCAATTTCCCAATGTTTCGCGCGTGAGAGCACTATATGATTTTACACCCAGTGAATCTGGTGAACTTGGTTTCTCCCGGGGTGATGTGATCACGGTATTAGATAGCGTGTACAAAGATTGGTGGCGAGGTGAATTACACGGAAAAACAGGCATATTTCCAGTAAATTATGTGGTTAGTATACAATATACATGTGTGTATGTTAAGTTATTAAGAATCGAAGATAGAAACAATATCGTTATTTTTTTTTTTTACTTAGGAAAAATTACCGGACCCAACTCCTGAAGATATTGCCAAAGAAGCGGATATGGAGGCTAGTGTTTTTGCTGAGGGTCGAAACATAGATCAACTTTTAGAAATGTTGGCTGGCTTAGATTCTCAGAGAGACAGTGTCACTGAAAACGAAGCTATTCAGGTGAATAAATCTTCATTCTAAATATCTTATTAAATTGTGCTTATGTTATTGACTGTCTAAAATTAGAACTTATATAACTCTACGCTACCGGTTCGACCAAAATTAATGAAACTTATTGAGAAATACAGCCAGAAAAAAGGTATAACATATATTTATTGTGTTACACGCGATACTCTTGAGATATTTATCTTCTTTGATCGCCTTAAATGAAATATCTTTTTATAGACGATCTTATCGCTCTTCACAAAAAATTTATTCAAGCAACAACTACATACGACAGACTTATGTCGGAATCCCTTCGAAAGTATGATCCGAGTAAGTAACTTAAAATCTATGTTTTTATTAACATGTTGTATGAGTATTAACCATTGTGTGCACAGCTTACCTTAACGGTCCATCTCAGTATAATAATGCATCAATTAATTCTCAACCGATTGTTTCGGATCGCGGTGTACCGAACTACGCGGCTTACGGAGCGCAACCCTATGCGCAGCAAAATTCTGCTTTTGTAACGGGATATACTGACCCTAACTCGGCATATTATCAACAGCAACAACATTCAAATCAGTATAATGCGCCTCAGATAGATGCCACGAGTCAACAGAATGTTTATCCTAGTCAACAACCGCTTCAAGCGCAATATCAACAGGATAACGTTTCACAGCCACCATCGCAAGCACAATATCAACCTTCAGTTCAGCATCCTCAGTACGCACCTCAAATTTTACCTGGTGGTTTAGGTCAACAAAATGCCTATCAAGCTCAACAAAGACATCAGTATATGCCTCAAACTGCACAAGAAGCGCCTGTGGGTCAACAAATCGGTTATTCAAATCAACAACCGACACAATATCAAAACCCAAATATAACTTTACAAGAAAATCATACTCAGGGCGGTTTTCCACCACAACAAAATCCTCAACAGCAACAATTGCAGCCACAATTACATCTTCAACCACAACTTCAACCAAATTCGCAACAGCTTCCACTCCAACCGAATCCGCAACAACAACCGCCTCAGCAAAATTCTCAGTACATAAATCCATCTGTACAAGATCCATCTGCTCAACAGTCTATATATTTAAACCAACAACAAAAGCAACAATTTAATCCACCTGTCCAGCAAGATCCAGTAACGCAACCGGGTGCGTTCTCAGAACAACAGTCGCAACAAAATCAATTTTCTCCCAAGGCACCCCATGATTCTGTCGGTCAACAGCCTAGCGCGTATTTAACACAACAAGATCCTTCCTCTCAATTTCCTCAACAAGACCTTGCAAATCAACATAATGGTCAAGACCGAACGACCCAACAACAATCCAATTATGTAGCCTCACAACAGCCTACCTATTCAAACTCTAATCCATTTTATGATACATCAGCATATCGACAAACATCGTCGTCGCCATCGAACTCTGAAGTTCCATATCAAAATCAACAGCCACAATCACTGCAACAATTTGCACAAGCCTATGCTACTCAACCTTCTTCACAAATGACATCGCAAGCACTTCAACAACCACCTCCACAATCAACAAGTCAACCCCCTTCACAGCAGCAATATGACTACCCATATTATCCACAACAAAATCAACCTCAAGGTGCACAACCCAACTATACTGCTGCTTCAGTTCCTCAACAATATTCATAGTCTGCGTTATTATAAAGAGTTAAATGCGCATTCAAATTTTTTTATTATTTTTATAATTTTATTTAGTTTTTTTCACTCGTCTGGTTATAAAACTTTTTTTTACTCTGACATCGAAAATACTGATGAACATTTTGGTAAAAGCAACAATTACTAATTGATGCCAAGTAATTGAAATCGCTGGCTTGGAGTATGTGTAACTGTAAACATCAACCGAGTCGTTAAATAAAGTGGGTATCAAAACAAATGGTACCAATGTAGACCTTAGACGCAAGACAAAGATCTAAAGCTTTATTATAAAATATGTCTTGAATAAAGATTATATATAAATTGTTTTTAAGATTCTTGTCAGGGTAATTTTTATGCTAACTTATGATCTATATTTTCCTGTCAAAATCGTATAATTACAACCTTATGAATTTCTATGATATCTAATTCGAAACTATTATACATAAAAAGTCCCAATACTTGATTAATGAGAAAGATACACTATATAATATAGCTTGAAAATTTTTGTACACTTAATTAAGGTACTTGAAAAAATCAGCTAATGAATTGATAAATACTGTATATTTAATCTTAAGAAAATATAATTCCAAATTATAGAATATAGAAAAAATATAATTTGTTATGTTTAAAAAAATTAGTTTGTAATTATTATTCAAAGTTTATATCTTAAATAATATATATTTAATATTGTATTAAATAAAATTAATAAAATATTTTTAATAATAATTTAATTGTTAATATATAAGCTTTTGATATTTAAAAAGTTATTATAAATTATTTAAGTTAATAATATTAAAATTTTTAATATTACTATTATTTAAATTTAAATTGTTAATGAAAATATTTTCAAAAAATTATATTGAAATTTTGTTTATTGAATAAATTTAATTATTATTAACTTAGATGATTTAATATATTGTATAATCTAATAAATTTTTTTTACTATTTCTAAAATATTTTGAAATTGATTAAAAATTATTAAACAAAGATAAAGAGATAAAATATTAATTGAATGTTTATTATATTAAAGTTTCAAAAAAAGAATTATATTCAAAATAAATGTAAAGCTATTAAATAGTTATATAATTTGAAATAAAATGGGTTTGGTTTTTTATAATAATAATTAAATCAATAATAATCATATTTTTTATTAAATAAACTTTTTTAATAATATATATATTTTTTTAATAATAAAAGTTTTTTTGTTATATTGTTAATATTAAAATATAAAAAAATATTAATAATATATTTTGTCAAATAATCTCAAATAATTATAACTATTTACAAAAAAAAAAAATCAAAGTAAATAGAAATTGGTTTGAAAATACAGTTAGAAAAGTTATATATTTAATTTTTTCGACTTACTCATTTTAATAAAAAGTTTGAATTTGCGACTCTTTCCGCTAATCCTTTTGCCAATCCAAAAAACAGACGTTCTCAAAAGATTTTTGTCTTTATGATAATAAAGTCTATACACTTTCCT